GTGGCTGCACTTGGCTTACCGAGGCACCACTGCGACCCCGACAGGCCCAGGCAAAGGACGTTGACTGCCCTCCTCAGAAGCGCGGCTTTTGCATGGCTTTTGCTAAGACTTGCTGCAGTTTTCAGAGGCGCCTTTCTTTACTTTTAGGCATTGGCAGGCTTCTCACGCCCCTCGTGCTCCTCCCGCATTCCTTACATCCCGTGAGAACCTGCAGTTTAGGCTAAAGTTTAGGGTGTGGGAGTGTGGGAGACCTAGTTCGGCAAGTCTGTGTCTCAGCCGTGCAACCGCCACACAACACGACAACACCAAAGAAGTCTGAATCCGGAGAAGTCATCCAAATTACACAAGCAAATGCTTACGAGCAGCTGCGATCGCTGATCTGCACGCTCCTCATCCTGCATCAGCTTCCGTCAGGCGTCAGGAGATGGGTGACTCTTGTAGCGCCGGGTAGTAGTTCTTGCCACCGTAGTCTAACTCTCACTATCACATAACTGTCACTTGTCATTGGAAGGGACTTGCAGCCTAACCCATCCCTAAAAAGCTGGAGCCTGCTGGTTGCAGTGGGGCTCGGAGCTCCGTGTAACGAACTGCAGGCAGCTTCTCAAGCACCTTGTGGACGCACAAGTTGGACCCTTGCTTCCAAGGGTTCAGCATGGTTGTACATTCGCTTTCTGAGGTTGCAGCTTGGCCACTTGGCTACTCCCAGTGTACCAAGTCAGGGTTACATGAGAGGCTCGGCGGCTCAGCTTGGTGTGGATTAACATTTTCTACACCAACATTCCACCATTAGGAACAAGCCCCAAAGTAGAGGATCATGTGGTGCCCAAACCTGTCTACATCGGTCCGGCTGTACTATGATCTTGGCAAGCTCGGAGCTCAAGAGACAATTTGTTGCCATGGCGCTCTCCCCCTTGTGCCAACTGCTGGAGGACCTCCGCTGCATCGCTCATATTCAACCAAGATCCAGAGAAGCAGGTAAATCGGCACAGCGTTTGAAAGGCTGAGCACGTTGGGGCTCCGGAAGGCCGTCTCTTCTGAACCCCTCGCGGCCCTTGCCAGTGCTGAGGCTAAGAAGGCCTTTCTTGGGACAACTTCATGAAGTGCAGCCAAGATCAGCCAAGAGTCATGGGGCGGCGGCATCGGCTCGGTTGGCAGGTCGAGGAGCTTGCACCATTCGCGAAAGATCTTGGCAACTACCTGAGGTCACAACTTCGTCTCAACTTCCCTTCGGGTTTCTGAACTACTGGATGCTACTGGGTGGTGCCAGTATGCCTAGGGCACGAAAGTCTCTTTTCACGCCCCTCCGCGAGGACCTCGGAATCCTCCAAACCCCGCAGGAACCACTGATGAGACCCTAGCGACCTTCTTAGTGTTCTTGTTGCCAAATTTTGCCTTGCAATCCCCTTAAATTAAAAACCACTAAAATCTCAGCCGACAAACCGGCAACGGCTTTTTCTAGCTTTCGGGCCGGCCGAGGTCGTCGAAACGCACCGTTTGCGATTAGAATGCCGGCTTTGTGGGACAGCTGAAGGCTGAAGCCCTAAGCCCTAAACTGGCCCTAAACAAAGATGCCAAGAGTTTTCTGATTTCAGCAAAAGCCACTGCAACCGAGGCATAGCCGCAAGGAGTGCCTCCGAGGGCTCGGGAAAGGGCTTTAGTGAATTTCTGCGACTCGAAAGGACTCTAGTCCTTTCTAGATCGGTCGCAGGTTGGCTTTGCTAAATTCTCAGGGTCCTGGGGCAGGTTGGGGTGAGGAGCCAGAACTAAAACCTCTTTTGATCTTTTAGTAGCATAGCGAACAGGATACAGAGGTAGGGAGACCAGAACTGAAGAGCGAAGATGAAACCTTTGTCTGGAATTTGATGAGCGCAGTTCTGACTGACCAAATGATGGGCCTTGGTAAGCTCTGAACTCGTGAAGTCATACGGCCTACACGAGCAAAGCTTTTGGCTTTGTTAACCATTATGCCAAGAATGTGGAACGAACCCCAGACTGCCAGCCAAACCTCTACAAAGAGAGGGCCTTTACAGTTCGCTGGTGGCGGTGCATAGAGGGCCGGGGTCATGCGATCGTATCGCTGTGCCGCAGCGCGCGAATGGTGAGTTCTGAGTTCGAGGGACTCAGCTCAAACCTGCACACCTATGGCTCGCAATGTGGCATTGGGGCTTGATATGAGGTCACCACAAGCCATTTGGTTCGTCTTAACGTACCTCATACAGCTGGCATGATCGTAGGATGCCGCTGTGGCTGTATTTGCACTAAACTCATGACATCTCACGTTCCCTGTCATATCATGTTGGCAACTTCAAGGCGGCATCACATCCGGGCAACGCAGTCGATGTCTGCAACCCCCTGGCCCGCCCTTCGTCACAACACGAACTGGGGCGCAGATGCGAGGCTACGTGAGTCTTCTGTCGCACCTGTTTTCTGCTAAGATCCCGCGATGAACGGGTATGTGGTGAAACACCTCCCTGCACAGGTAACGTGAGGCCAATAAACAAACGCGGGAATTGAAAGCTCCAGCTCACCAAACCTTCAGAAAAAATGCACAAGGCTATCAACTAGTTATAGGCTCAAACGAGCGTCGGGCGCTTGTCTAGGGCCACCTCCAGATTACAACGCATATGTGCTGTTTCCGACGCAAGCATCAACCATCAAACACGCTCTCCGCGTGAGTATATAAGCGCATAGTATCATAACGTATCATATTGGTGCATAGCATGGGCATCTTTGGAACCTACGAAGAGACGCGCAGCTCTCGCTAGAGCGCCATGCCGAGCCAATTGGCCCTGCATCCCTATAGGCTCAAATCAAGCGACTCAGCTAAGGGCTTTCGCCAGCTTCTTTGCCTTGGTCTTTTTGTTGGCCTGCGCAGAAGAGTCTTACTGGGTATAGAGGGTGGGCTTCAGCGCAAGGCCATGTCTGCTTTTACAGTGATTCACCATGGACTTGAAGTGTAGGGTAACTGGGGCTGAGGGTTGGCACAGAATTCCCACTTAAAGAACCACCGCAATTTTCTCGAACTTTGCTCAAGGGAAAGCTTGCCAAGAGGCCCGAGAAGCGGTCTGTTGGTGGCAGCAGGGGCTCAAAGTCGAGTGGCGGACAGAGGGAGCAACATGGAGATACACGGAGATACACTGAGTCACTGATGTCATCGAGCGGGAGGGGCCTTGGCCAGCTCCTTGTCGTCCTCCTCCTCCACCTCAGTCCTGCCAGGAAACCATCAGCAAAAAATTATTTGCTGGGAATTTCAAATGGTCAGAAAGAAACCCTCAGTACTTGTTTATTTGTGTATCCTGCTGTGGGGGTTGGAATACCCCGGGCGATCTCAATCATGACAGTGGTGTCAACACCGGCAAGATCCACAGGGCAAAATGGGGCGTAAGTCTGTCGATTGGCAAATACGTAGAACTGTCAAGGTTGCCGTCAATGACTGGCAGTGGTTGAGCGACTATGTCTGGTCATAGCTTGCACTGCTGTGCCTACTCGATAAGGCGTGTGACAAAGCAACTAACCAACGTGCTGCACGCCCGAATTGAAACATCGTCGCCGGGATTGCCAACGCGCCTCGTCGGGGCCCATGCCATCATCATAATCACAAAGACACACGCCTGGGGAGAGACAGCTATACCATGCTGTAGCACTGTAGCAAGCTGCATATTGCACCACATTGTCCCCCTCCTCTTACTTTCTGCTGGACGGTGTCCCCTATGCGAGTTGCTGGGGTAAACCATCGGCCTGCTGAGAAGATTCGTAGTTGCAGAAGCAACGGGATAGCAGCAAACTCTGGTAGGATATATACATTCAAAAGGTAAAGAGCTCCAAGATGCTCCAAGCCGTGGAGAAGAAAAGCGGGCAAGTTTGGCACAACCTGGCACCCACGTGCCTTCGAAATATCCGGGCTGATGGCTGAGGACCACGCAAGGATCAGCACATGGTCAAACTTGAACTCATAGCTGACATCGTTCGTCTCTTTCATCTTGGTTTGCTGATAGAGTCGTGGCAGAAACATCGTTGACGATCACAGTTCTTAGAGAATAAGGGAGTTGCGTCATTTCGGTGTCTGCTTAACGAAACTAAAATGTCAGGCGAAGCGCAGCAGAGCAACAACCTCTCAGCAACCGCTTCCTCAACAATCCTGCATCTGGGAATGCTGTAGGGCCACTGTAGGGAGCTGTAGGGCGCTTCACAAGGAGCCCTTAGCACAGTCGGGTGGCCGGGAAGGCTCGGAGCAGGAACATTGACAGCGAGCTCATCTGACTGTAGGGGCCCAGGTCCTCCACCACATTCCAGCACCAAGGCAAGAGTGAGCAGGATTAGGTGATTAGGGTGTGAAAGTTGGGCTCGGGCTTGTTGGTGTACCTTTGTGTCCCTGTTGGCAAGCTGATGCAGCTGCTGCCTTGGGGAGACCGCGAACCCAAGTTCCCCACTCACAGAGACACATCCGGGTCCTTGGGCAGCTCAATGACCATGAAGGTCCAAAATCTGGGATGACGTTGACTTTACACGGACACAAGTTCTGGCGGGGGCTCCGTTCCAACTGAATCCCAGACTGGTGGGCTATCAGTACTGCCTCCACGACACAAAAAAACTTTGGCAAAGGCACATGCCAAAGAGCCACAGCCAAAGGCCGCTAAGGGCCATCATGAAGAAGGCCTGTGACATTTCCAGGAAAATTCCAGCTGCGAAGGCCGTGGGAAGGTAAATATCTCATGCGTCTCATGCAAAATGTAACATGGCCATCCATCCTGAAAGCCTAAAGCCCGAACCACGGCTTTAAATCCCACATTCCAGCTACACTTGACGAAAGAAGCTTGCAAGCCACGAAGGCTTTTGTAGGCAAACTCTATCCCGCTCGTTACGGAGAGAAGTTGGTACTGGTACAAGTAGGAATATCGTAAGTTGAGGACATCCTGAGAGCCCCAACCCTGAGCTCCAAACCCCCGCACCTGGAGCATCGCCAGAGGCAGCATCAATGGGCTGAATACTCTCCGCGCCATGGCTCTTCGCAAAACCGCGGCCTCAGGGAGCTCGACAGAGCTATGGGCACCCGGGGCTTAGAGCATTGACAACCTTTCACATCACAGCTTTTGCATCGTGGTCTTACAAAGAACCGCAGGCCCCTCCTGAAACATCAAAGCATTATCAAGGCCCTAGAGCATTGAAATCTAAAAGTTCTGATCCTGAACCCCTAACGCACCATCGCATCATAAAGAACTAAAGAACTTTGTACGAACAAACCGAACCCTTGGCACCTCACAGCCGCCCGGAGGCCGCAGACCCCGTTTGAGAGCTCGCCGCGGAGGGCTGTGGAGGTCTCGGGTCGAGGGCTTTAGAGGTGTGGATGTCCGAGCCTTGGATCTGTCGTACAGGGCTGCGATGACAAACTCAATAAAAACCCCAAGGACATGTGCTTCGAGGATGGTTCTCCCGCAGCTCTGCTTTTCTGGGTGGCTTGGGATCGGACATTCGGGGGCTGATCCTGATGTAGAACCGGGCCAAGCAAGGCTGCATAACCGTCCTCGACATTTTTCTGGCATGCACGTCCTGTCTTGTCACCGGCTTTGCCTCGCGGCAGCTCTTTGTAGTCGTGAAATGCAGACTCATCCGTCCAATGACAAATGACAAAGATTTCTGCAGGGAGGCCAAGCTGGCATCGTCGCGTTGTGAGACATAGGAGACATAGGCTCATCGTGGGCCTCCGCACTTGAACGAGCTCTTCAACCATACATGATCATACATGAAGTTGAAATGGCCTCAACGCCTGCGTTGCAAGCACGTTCACTTTCCTGCGGACACAGAGTTGTGAGACGCACATTGAGACATCAGAGCGGGTTTGCTCCAAGTTGGAGAGCCCAACTTCCCACTACATCCACTACTGTTTCGGGCCTGCAGGAACTTGCCTTTGGCAGCGTTGGTTACGATTAGGCAGCTGTTCTACAGGGAGGCCCTGGCTCGGAGCAACCCCCGTCACATCATGCTGACGCCACGTTCTCGGAGAAGCATCGCAAGCCCAAATAGGTTCGAGCATCTCGAGGCAACAGTCGATGGACGAGTTCGGTGTTTAAACTGGAACCCGTCTGCAATAAGTCCCGGTATTCCCCCACTGGACCCCGGCTTGGGAGACCCTGCGCTTCCAACCTGGAATCATCACGAGGGTAGACTAGCTTACCCTTCAGTTAAGGTGCGACTTGAAGTCGTAAACGAGCTTAAAGACATATTGAAACGGATCTGTAAGTGATGAGCTTCGTTTTGTGGCCTGGGGAGGGTAGCCTTGCCGTGAATTCGGACAAGGCTTCTCTTCGTGCTGAAACCTCTTGCGAAAAAAGTTTCAATGAGTCGGCAGCAATGACTGCAATGACTGCAATGACTGCATGGCTCTCCGTACTCCAAGCATCTCCAAGCCGCATGGCCTAGCACCTAGCTAATGCACAGGTGAGAAAAGCGCCTTCGCTTGCGCCCCTCATCTGTCTACCAAGTCGGCGGCATCCCTCGACACATATGAGAGACAGCCAACCATCTACGTGAACATGTGAATGTTGCATGCTGTTAATGCTCGAATAAATCCACACAGATCCGCCCTGCACGTCGTTTTTCGTGCGTCATTAGTCTTTGCCCTCTGCTGAATGCCAAACAACCCCCCCCTCCTTTCGGGCTTGCTGCCTGAAGTGATCCCGCAGACTGGAGGAGGACTCGTTGAAGGATCCTCCAACCGCCTGGCACTAAGGTGCTGCTAGAAATGCAAACCATATGGCAATTCTCCAGACTGAAACCGGTCGGGTGTGGTGGGATGGCAAAGGGAAGACAAGAGGGCAAGCGCAAAACTGCGCCGAGAGCCTCGCGCGCCTTCAGCAGCTGGACCTTCACTCCATTCCACTACATACCCACCATGCTTGCAATTCTCTCAACTCCTCACCTCACTCACTCTCCACTTTACTCTACAGTACTCCAGGCTCCAGTTTTTATTTACTTTCGTTCACATCCACGCATCCGCCCTCAATCTTCGTGCCAGATCTCTTGGGCAGGGCACTGGTCAGAACTACGGCTTCATGGCGAGGGGCAGCAGCCGCAGCACTTTTTTCGGTTTCGGGTCTAGGCATTTGGTTCTCCTTGTTCTCATCGATGACAATCCTCTTCGCGTGGAGCCTTTGCGTGCGCTTAAAAGAGTTATTGTCCTGCTCTTGTTCAGCACGGTTTCACTTGTCGGTGAGGTCCTCAAGCTCCTGAATGAAGACTCCAAGAGCTCATGCAGTGACAATCGGGAACCTCGCGCGTTCACTATCATGAGGGCTAAGAACCTGTTCTTCCTGAATTTCCACTCCTCGAAAACCGCTCGGAGCTCAGCAGGTACGAGCTGCACTCTTTCCACAATGCCGGCCAGTGGCTCAGCAGCACATCACACAGTGATGACAAGTCCCATGCACGACAGGGTCTGTGACGATTTGTTTCGGCCCCTAAGCCCCCATTCTACAAATTTTGCCCACCTCGTGATGTCATGCTCGTGGATGCTTGTGAGAAACGGTGGCCATGACTCCAAAGGACCTCGGACTTCTCCTCCTCATCGAACATAAAATGGCCTGCTTCTGTGTGTCCTTCGGCAACTTCTGGGCATGCGAAGGCTCCAGGTGAGTTAACCGAAGTTCAACTCGCCAGAGTCGCCGGGAATGCGTCCCGTGCTAGCGGCTACGGCAGGACCTCTTTGATTCGCCATGGCATCGCGAAGAGTGGTGACCGAGCTCAGCCAAGATTGCAGGAAGCGGCAGGCTCTTTCGTCTTGCAAGATGTAGAAGTATTTGTATGGGCTGTTGCTGATTGTACCTGCCGTGCATACAGCTCAGCATCTCGGTTCTAGTGCATTTTCGGGCTTAGTTCCAAGGAAAGCCTAAACCCGAAGGCCCCAAGTATAAGTTAAACAAGATACCACACACTGGCCACACCTGCTCGGCTTGCTTGGCGTTCTCCGCCTCTGTCGCTTCAGGGATTGTCGCTGAAGGATTTTAGGGGGCTCTTAGTCAACCGAACTCCGCGCACTCTCAGGGCAGGCCGGGAAGGCTACTCAACCATCAGCCGGCCAGCCCCAGACCCTTCAGCCTTCCACCCTCCAGCCTTAAGGCTGAATATTCGGATTAAAGTATACGGATGTCAACCTCTTTTACTCTACCACTCTCTCGTGACCGTGTGTAGTGGATGCGAGACCCCCACCCCAGGATTACAATAGAGGCCGAGGGGCCCTTGCGGGGCACGTAAAATGTTCCCACACCACCCAAAGGAGGAGCTCGCCGGACGCGACCATGTCGCACGCTTTCTCGACTCTACGCTTGTAACTTATGTTTGTACTGTATACAACGCAACTTAATCACTTAATCTCAAAGGGTGGGGCAGGGCCATTAAAGAGCCTAGCCAAGTGCGCTCTAACCTGAGCAACAAAAAGTGTTTAGATTTGGGGCTGGTGGCCTCCAAATAGCGCACGCGCTCGAGCAGCTGCCTTTCCGTCACGGATGCCTCCACGCTCCTCACTACAAGGGCTGCACCATGTTGGGAACTTGAGGCAAGCTTTTGGAAAACTCTTTGTGTTTCAAAAGAAAAAAACAGGCTAAATGTTGGTTTGAGGACCTGGACATAGGTGTGGCAGGGTAGGATCATGGATCATTCATAAACGAAACAGGCCTCCTGCTCAGGTCTGGGAGCTGCGGCAGAACGGAGAAAGGAGCGAGACTGGAGAGGGGGTGGGGGGCGGGGGGGCCCGCCTTTCAAACCTTGAGAAATCCCCCTTTCGAGACGACCACCAAACCCCTAGAGCACTGCCAAAATCTGCCCAGCGTCTTTGGCCCAAGTGGTACTGAGCCGCTCTCGCATGAAGCTGCGAGTGCCTTCTGCCTGTTGAACACCGTTTGAGCTCCATAGTGGTGTAGTGGCAAGCAAGCATAAACCAACCCCATCACAGCTTACTGCCAAGACATTTTGAGAAATCCTCCGTCAGACTGCCAGGGCCTCAACTGTAGAACAATCTGTGCTTGTCGCTCCAGCTGCGCCTCAGGAACTCGGAACGGTGAGTGCATTTCTCGTCTCATTCTCCCAGCTTTGGAAGAGCTTTAAGTCCTAGGTCGGGTCCCTGGGTGGAAGCCTGTGAAAAGCTCGTCTGTCGACTTGCCACTGCAAAACAGCCATAAGCGACTTTCTCCCACACAAATTCGCCTCGGCAGCCGAGGGGTGAACTTTTCCCAACTTCCCAACTTCCCCCCACCAACTCCATCCTGTGGGACCTCTGTGGGACCTGCCCAAACCGCTTGGAGGAGCCGAACTTCGATGCCACGGGGGTTCCACGCCGTGGGCCCTTCCCACAGAGACCACGCCAAAAAGCACGACCCTGACACCCCGACCATTGCGCACGCTACGCCTCACGTTGTGCCAGCCCGCTGTTGATTTGGGGAAGGATTCAGGCTTCAGGTTCCTTGAAGGGGAACGTTGGCCTCTTCGGGACAGCACTTGGAAGCTCTTTTGACTTAGTAGTTCTACGTAGTATCCTCTTATAATCCCCATAACCCACCTTATTAACCCTACTTAGTCAAAAGCGCTTCAAGCACCAGGGAAAATAAACACTCTCGAACACCAGCCATCTACCCTCATCGACCTACATCCAAAATCCCTGGCAGGACCACCGGACCCTTGCAGGTGCCAGCCTGGAGCTCGGCATTCTGCTGCCGGAGTGCGGCATCACTTCCTTCAAGAGTCTCGCGCAATCTCGTAGTAGTCTCGATGCTACCCTGTTATTTGGTTGGAAGTCGTGTCTATTGCACAAACCCTGAAATTGACCAGCAATCCCCAACATTCTCCACCTCCCGCATTTCCCCTGAACGTCCTCCGGCTTCTTGGAGCTCTGCGTCCTCCCGAGATACAACGAAAAATCAATCGAAGCCTTTTCGTCGCCAAAACTACGATCCGGACCGATGCGGAGATGCCCAAACCATTTTGGGTAACAATGCCGTCACACTGTCAACTA